GGGGCGGCCCGGTGGGGGAGGGGCGGCCACGGCCTCCACTGCCGTTGCCGCGTCCTCAGTCGGCCGGCCCAGGGCTCGGCGCTCCCCGCAGCTCCTCCGGGACGCTCGGCGGCGGCTGAAGCTTCGGTCGCAGACCACGGTGCATAGTCCGAGGCGCGGTTGAGGCCAAAGTCGGCTATAGGACGCCGGCGAGTCTAGGCCGAGAATCCCCGGGCTCGGGTGGAAGCTCGACCCGTCGCCCGGCCTACCGGTGACGGCAACTCCGACCGGAAGGGCCTAGCGCGCGTCTCTCCGCAGTGATCCGTGGAGGGGCCCCGCGTTGCAGTCTTGGTTTTGATTTTTTTTTTTCCCCCTTCTTGGGCACCCGACCCAGGTCCAGTAGTGCTGTGAGCTTTACATTCTGTACCTTTGGCATTTGGGTTTTGTAATGGTGGCGAGGTTTGTCTGGTCCCGTTGTTGAGGTGACACCAGTTTTGTTTTTTGTTTTTCCCTGAAAGTGAAAACCCGACAAACGTTTCTTTTCTCGATTATGAAGCTTGAGCGCTTTGGCATACTATTTCTTAGGTAACAGAATCTTACCTATAAGGGTGACTTTTTGTTCCGTGTGAAGATTTTAAGAGACCTCAAAATCTCTGCATAGTTTCTAAAGAAAATAGCGAAACATAGTTTTGTCCAAAGTATAATTTCTTTTCAGTCTACGACATTTTTATATTTCTGTTGGGCAGTATCTGGTAGCACAGCAAGCTTCCATTCCAGTCAGGTTTGGAGGTGTACAGCGCCACTACCACCTGAGTTAGGACTGTAGGCAGCCTTGGCTGCTTACTGGAGACGGCCTCAAAACACAACAAAAGTAAACAGAAAGCTTCCACTTCAGAGTCTGGAGTCAGTTCCTTCCTAAGCTTCTACAGGATCATTTTGTTTTTTAGATAAGTGGTCTCACCCTGTTGCTCAGGCTGGTCTTGAACCTGGGACCCTCCCTCTTCAGCTTCCGGACCGAGGGGATTACTATAAGGGTGCTGGCCACAAACCGACTTGAAAAACCATTGTTTAACTCGTTTTGTTCATATTGATACACTTCAGAGCACACAAAATTCGCTCCAGAGTTAACGTTTGTGGGGAGATCTAGTGAAGCTGTTAAACTTTTATAACTAAAGTATGACACATTACACAGTCTTTGGAACCTTTGCCAAATTTTTAACCTTGGTTCAGGACTGTCTGAATCTTCCAAGGTAGTTCTTTGGTATTGTAACATGAAAGTTACTTTGTTGAAGTGTTGGTTATATCCACACAAAAAGCAAAATCTTTTATGTTGCCTTAAGAAAAGTATAAAATTTTAATGGGACAATTTTGAAGATTCTGTTTTCACCTAAGAAGAGCCTGAGTAGTTTCATCTCGCCTTCTTTTAAGCTTGCAGAGAGCCTTAAGCGGTCCTCTGGCATTTTAGTTTGTTCTGTGCTTTGCAGAAGGCTTAATAACATAGGTCACCTCTATTCACAGTCTTTTATGTGGTCTTAATAAAACAAAATCCATCTTTCCCTTGCAATAGTAAACCAACATGGCTTTATCCTTCCCTGGGTTCTTGATTTTGAATTAACATTTTAATTAGAATGTTTGTATTTACTGTATAATTAGTTCAGTAGCAAAGTTCTGTTACAGGTTTTTGGTTTGAGAGGTGAAAAACCTCAGGAGGAATTTGTGTCATTCAGTAACTGTTGATTGAGTTCTTCCCTTGTACAAAGTAGTATGCTAGCCCAAGGAAAGGCCAAGAGCCTTTCAGTGACTTGTTCCAGGTTGCATGAAGACATCATCCTTGCTGATAGGATTATATCCTTTTTTTTTTAAATTGGAGCAAAACATTTTTCATAATATGTGGAAAAATGGAGTCAGAAAAACTTAACTGTGCAGTGAGAAATCATGTTTATTGTTTTTCAGTCTCGGGGATTTTATTGCTTTTCTGGCTTCACTGCTTCAGAGTTCTTAATAGTGAAGAGTAAGTTGTAATACACATCTTTTTTTTCCTGTTTATTTACCTGTATAGGTTATAAAATGTTTCTTAATACTGGACTGATGTTGGCAGGCATCTTGAACAATATCCCTCTTTTACATATGAAGAAAATGAGGCCTGGTCAAGAAATGAGAAGTAAAGTGATAGCAGACCACGTGAGGAAGTAGTGTTTAAAACTGGGAAGCACAACACAAGGTTAAAGAACCATATTTTCGAGTCAGACAAACCTGCACTTGAACACTAATCTTGAACAAATGACTTATCTTTAAATTTGGGTTTTCCCATTTTGGAAATGGTTGTCCTAATGGTAGCAACTTGTGGGGCTTTTGAGAAGATTTCATGAGATAATGAGTGAACAGCTCTTGGCGCAGAGTGTGGTGTGTGCAAGTCCTGTTAACCAGGTGTGATTTAAGATAAAAGATGAACTTGGCTGAAGTTGAGGGGAAGCTTGGTTGTGAAGGGGCAAGTCATTCCCTTTCAGCCTTGGGATGGTTTGAAATGGTTCTCTGAAGAAGTGAAGTCAGTTGGAATGTAAATTTGCTTTGATTAGACTTTGAGTTGGGCCTGATGGTCTGTATTTGTCTTCCGTTCATTCTTAGTCAGGTGCATGTGAGTAGGCCTTGGCTTTTCCTACAGTGTAAATGACATTGTGTTCAGGTGAAATGGCTATTTGATTAACTACCTTGGATATCTGTGATAGTGTTGGGTAGATATTGAGGGCATAGCAGTCCAACAGAGTCCTCGGGAACTTGTCGTAAGGAGGGGACAAATGATAAAAGTGATATTTAACTTTTTTTTTGGTAAACACAAGCCTATCTTTACTAAAGGCTGGCACTGTAAAAACAAGAAAAAAATGTCCTTGTGAAGTTTACATTCCAGTGAAGTCAATAAACAATAAATTATGAGGAATGACCAAAGGTAAAAATGCCTTGGAAATTCTACAGGATATGGGAGATTTCTTATTGTTGAAGGAGTCACAATATAAAGTGGGGTAAACTGGTAAGCATCCTTGAGAGAGTAATATTTAGGCAGATGTGTGTGGCTTGCACCTTTAATCCCAGCCTTTGGGAGGCAGAGGCAGGTAGATCTCTGTGAGTTCAAGGGCACCTCTGGCCTGCAGAGTCAATTCCAGGACAGAAACTCTGTCTCAGAAAAAAACAAAGAAAGTGTGTCGGGTAGGAGGAACAGGAGGGGCAGGAGTTGGGGTGGTTGGGCAGTAACCATTATAATTCAAGTAGGGGTAATAACTTGCTGAGGCAGTAGTATAAACCCTTCTCAGTAGTGAGAAGGAAAGTGATAGTAAACAGGTTCACAATAGGATGAGCACAGATTCCACAAAGCTCTGTAAAGCCATTCTAAAGATTTGGCTGGGGTTTTTGTTTGATTTTGTTTTGACTTTAAATTCTTGAGCTCAAATAATCTTCCTGCCTCAGCTTCCTGAGTATCTGGCACTGCATGTGCACCCCACTGAGTTTTAATCAGAGGAATGATATGATTTGCTTTCAGCTTCAGAAGGCTCATTTGTAGCATTGCAGAGGAGCAGAGTGGAAGCCTGAAGACTTGTAAAGAAGCTAGTAATCCAGAAGAAAGTTGCTGGTGGCTTATACCAAGGTAGTATCTGAACTAGATGGGTGCTCGATGTTTGTGGAAGAGTAAATAGGATTTGTTGACACATGACATGTTTGAGAAGTGAATGGTGATTCTAAGACTTTTGGTCTGTCAGAAATTTGCCCTCCACTGAGTTAGGGATGATGTAGAAAGAGCGAGTTGGGATTAGTAGTTTTTTTGTTTTTTTGTTTTTGTTTTTTTTTTTTGGTTGTTTGTTTGTTTTTTGCATAGTAAATTGGAGATGCTTGTTAAGATGTTTAGGTTGGATTGTTACATAAATCTGGTGTTGTAGGGGAGGGGAGGTCTAAACTGGAGATAAATTTGTAGTAATCTATTTAGGCAGTGTACAAAGAAAGCCACCAGACTGGGTGAGGTTACAAGACATCCACTGTTTCACTGTAGTAAAAATAAAGACCAAAAATTCATCTTGGTTTATAGTTAGATAAATCTTAGTGTGTAGTCAAGGCTAATGTGAACTCCATGGCTCTTGTGCCTCTGCTTCCTCAGTGCTGAGAATATAGGTGTGATACCATGAGGCAAGAAATGCTCCTTTGAAAGCTCCACTGTGAAGATTTAGTGTGTGAGCCTCTTTTGTTGTTTGCTGTTGAGACAGGATCTCACTGGTACCTCCTGGTGATCTTCAGCTCCTGCCTTGGCCTTCTAAGAGCCAGAATTACAAATGTGTACCCTAATTTGTGTGTGTGCATGTGTATGAAAATGAGTGGGTAGTATGTGTCTGTGAGGTGGGCATGTGAATGTCATGCTGCTGTATAGAGGTTAGAGAGCCACTTTTGGGAATTAGTTCTCTCTCTCTCTCTCTCTCTCTCTCTCTTTCTCTCTCTCTCTCTCTCTTGTTTTTCAAGACAGGGTTTCTCTGTAGCGCCTGGCATATTAGTTCTCTCTTTCTAACTTGAGTTCCAGGGATCTAACCGAGGCTGAACCGTGCTTTTTACCTGGTGGGCCATTTTACCGCCCCCCCCC